AAAAAAAAAAAAAAAAAAAAAAAAAAATATTTCTTTAAAAATGATAAAAAAAAAAAAAAAAAAAATACATTTCATTTCTTTTTTTTTTTTTAATTTTAACAATATCATATTTATCTAATAATGTAAATATTTAAAATTTTTTATTCATAATTTTAATTAATATAATTTAAAAACATTTGGTATTTTTTGTAAATAAATTTAGAAATTATAAATGAATTTGTAATAAATTAACTTTTTTACTACTTTGTTTTTTTTTTTTTTTTTTTTTTTTTTTTGCTTTAATGAATAAATATTTTAAGTTCATAAATATAAAAAGAATAAGTTTATTTTTTTTTGGTAAACCATGGAAAATGAAATAAAAGAGGAGAATTTGGATAATTTTTTAGCTCAATTAAATAAATTAAATCAAGTATTTATATATTTAAAAATAGTGAAAAAAAAAATTTTTTCTTTTTTTTTTTCCCATTTATAGTTATATATATTATTTTACAAATATTCTTTAGATAATTACCTCATTTAAAGAAAGCACTAAAATAGCATCATATTGTTTTAATAAATGTGTTAGTTATCCAGGTAGGGGGAAAATAATAAAAAATAAATTATTATACATTATTAACATGACATTGTAATATATATATATATATATTTATTTTTATTTTTTTTAAAGAAAAAAGTTTAAGTAAATCAAATAAAAAATGTATATGGAATTGCACCCAAAGATATTTAGAATGTGATTATTTTATAAAGAGAAGATCAAAAGATAAGAAAAACTTATCTAATTTTAATTTGTTAGATGATATGAATAAATTAACAAAACTTAGTAAATTAAGCAATGATTCAGAATATATTTTAAAAGATTAAAAATAATAATTTGCTATATATTTTTTATAAAATTACTAATATAATAAATAAAAATAATATGTATTTATTAAAAAAAAAAATATATAGAAACATATATTAAGAAATTAGAAAAAAAAAAAAAAAGATTATATTTCATATTTTTTAAAAATTTTATTTTGTTTATATAAATTTGTATAATATTTTCTTAAAAAAATTTAATTATTTTATTACTTTTTTATATTTTTTATTATTTTTTTTTCTTTTATATAATACAAAAATTTTTTTTTTTTTGAGATAACTATAATCAAATTTAACAATTTTTAGTTTTTTTTTTTTTTTTTTTTTTTTTTTTTTTTTTTTTTT